ACACTGCAATGAATCCTAAAATTTTTACAAATAATGAACCAAATATAACTCCAAATTCTATCAGTCATAATTATCCATCTGCACCCCTATTGTCCTCCGATAACGACTATCACAGCATAAACCTTTCCACTGCAAAATATGCAAATTTTGGTAACAATGGACAAGGCCAAATCACGGAGCGATCGTTTAATAATTTGAATTTAGGTACGTAAAGATATATTTAGGTACATAGTGAAAGAAATATTCAGATACGTAGTCAAGAAATATATATATATACCTCTATTAGAATTACGGAGGTTAATCTTTCAATCAATTCATGCCACTTGTATATTAATCGTCTTTTCCGCTTTATTCATTCTGGTGTTGAGTGGTATTCCGGCTTTCTGGCTGTACTTGTCCCGAGCTAAGATGTGTTGTGCTGATCTCTTTTGCTTCATCTTGAGATCCATAGTGGTGATCGGGTGAGATCTATTGAGAGTCTTTTTCAATCGAATATATGCCTCGATATGATCAAATTTATTCATTTCCTTCGCATAGCGTTTGTGGAAGTTTGTTACTATCCCATCCTACGTACGGAATTCTATCTCTGATCCAAGTTTAATTACAAGTATGTCATACTTCCGTCTTTTCTTGGTCTCGACTACAGTCAACCTATGCCTGACTAGTGATACCAATTTTTGTCAGAATTGCTTTATGTCGCTTCTCATCGTGGTATTGCATTGCTTTGCTAGCTAAATTCATCGCCTTCACACGTCCCCTACAATGTTGACATACTTTTCTCAGCCTCTAAACATATTTCTGTCTTGGAGATAGCAGTACCGCGCTTCATCTCATGTATCATAACCGCAATGCCGAATCAGGCATTGATGACAGCTTATTATCCACATCTGTACAGCTTTGCATGATACATATATATATATATAATTTTGACTTTTCTGAACTTGACCTCGCGATGCAAATTGTTCTTCCTTAATTTTTTGATCATTTTTTCAGCACATTTTAAAGTTATGCTTTGTATCTCTCATTTTTATTGAAAATTGTTATTTAGTTAAATCAGTCTGCACGTGCTAATGAACGTTGCAACACGTTTTACTTCATGTGTATTTAAATATTCTACCAACATTGCTTACAGGTAGATATAAATTCGTAAGAAGTATGAAATCATTTGCGTACTTAACCATTTATCAAATCAGAGAAAGTTCTTCTTAGGTATGCAAGGAAATCCAACTTTACGTCCTTATCAACCTTTCAATGCGAATGCAGATGCGGAAACACTCCGTAAAGCCATGAAAGGCTTTGGTTGCGATAAAAGTAAAGTTATCAGTGTACTCTGTAACAGAGTTAATTTTCAGGTGAAAATTTTCTTATCAGTTTTAATCAGAGATTAATAAATTTGTTATTTAAAAAGAAAACCGAATTGCTTTAAAAAAGTTGAAGTATCTAAGTTCATGTTTATTGAGCCGATACTGAAAATTTATTATTTTTGAAACAGAAATGACACATTTAAGCGTCAGCAAATTGCAACAGCTTTCAAAACCTTGTATGGCAAGGATCTTATCAGCGATTTGAAAAGCGAATTATCAGGCGATTTCGAAGATTTGATACTTGCTTTAATGGAAATTCCATCTCGATATGATGCAATTCAACTTCACAAAGCTATGGAAGTAATGGTTTATGATTTTTACTTGCTATTTAAACTTTAAGTGATCACTTTTCAGATATGCATACTTTTATAAATTTATTTTTGTCAAAACCTTTGAAAAATTATTAAAATAGTTTTACGTTGTAGGATTTTTACTTAATATAAGCACAAATTTCATTTCAAAGACCAATTAAAGAAAAGCAGAAGAGTTATAAACTACTCTTGGCTATAATTTAGGGTTTGGGTACCAAAGAATCAGTACTAATAGAAATTATGTGCTCACGTACGAATGCCCAAATCACAGAATTACGCCATGTTTATGAGCATATGTATCACCGAAGTTTGGAAAATGATTTAATTGGTGAAACAAGTGGACATTTCAAGAGACTGCTAATATCGTTGTGTGCTGCAGGACGAGATGAAAGTATACAAACCGATCATTTGCGCGCTAACCAGGTTTTATATTTTTTGGTGTATTTCTAGAAACTGTCTAATATTATTTCCTTTCAGTCATGAAATGGAAAACAAAGTTTATTGGTTTTTTTTTCAAGCAGAAAAATGTAGAATACTTTGTTCAATATTCTAAGATTTATCGAATCGCTGTCATATCTTGAAAGTGTTCAAAAATCTTGTAAAATGAGCTCTTAAAAACTCCAGACAACAAATTTAATGTTAACGTCTGTCGTAAAATAAGAACCAAATGAAGATTTTCAGAAACGAATGTATTCGCTTGGAAAAAAAAGTTGAAAAGCTAGTTATCAGGACATTACATTTTTTGAGCTCTATTTTACTAAAAAACTTTTAGTTTCGATTTTTTATTCAATTTTAGGACGCAAGAAAATTGTATAAAGGAGGCGAGCAACGCCTTGGTACAGATGAATCTTGTTTTAATGCTATTTTAGCTTCGCAAAATTATCATCAGCTAAGACTTGTCTTCCAAGAGTATCAAAAAGTTCGTTTCACTTTTCCGTACATGAAAAAATTTTACAGCATTAAATATGACTGTTCATAAGGAACATAACGCCTTTTCTCATGCTATGCGCATGAGAAAAGGCGTTAGAAGTTGCATCATTTTTCAAGTCAGAACACAAAAATTGGGCTAGCATTTCCATAACTCAAATACTGACACTCCTAAATCTCAAAAAAGAATTCTTTTAAAATGATTTTAATGACTTAATATTTATTTAGATAACAAATCATACGATTGAAAAAGCAATAGAAGCAGAATTTAGTGGCGATATTAAGGATGGTTTATTAGCAGTTATTGCATGCGCCCAAAACAAACCAGCTTACTTTGCCACTTTATTATACAACAGTATGGTGGTAATAATTCCTAAAATTCTTATTTACTTCTTTAGAACCCCGAAAAGTTTTATAATATTAGGACTTCATATGTAAGGAATATACTTGAACCGATGATTTATTTTAAACACTCAGAGTGCTATTTTTTAGGGACTTGGCACACGTGATACTGACCTAATACGTATCATCGTCAGTCGTTCAGAAGTTGATTTAGCTGACATACGACAAGAATTCGAACGAAAATACAAGCAAAGTTTGGAGTCTTTCATTAAGAGCGACTGCTCTGGAGCATATAAAGACGGCCTTATCGCACTTGTTAAGGGGAACTAATTGTAGTATCATGTAACTCTATTTCATAACATTGATGTAACACAGTCCTTCCATTTGGCAACCGTACGACTTTTACTACACTTTACCATATTGTAATTGAACTCTTATACGAAATGAATATTTGGGTTTATTTCACACACTGGACACAGTTATGCTTATTCAAGCTGTCAAGCTTTCTTTCTTTGTTGGAATAATTTTATTCAAAAACGATTCTGAGAGGACTATATTCAAGTACCACTGAATCAAGGTACATGTATTAAGTCTTTATCACGCTTACCAAACTGGTGGAAGTTACAAGAATACAAAAAACAGTAATCACCAGTAACTGCGCTATAAAAAACGAACAGGAAACAGTATTTTAACGCATGCAAAACAACCGAGTATAACACAAAAAATGTATAAGAACATTGTACAAGTTAAACCAGTAAGATAAAAAGTTAACACTCAACTTATTCTTTCCGGTATCAGTCCATGAGTATCAGCATTTTGCTCGAATGTACAAGGCTAAAATTTTAAAGTGGTAGGAAATGGACAAGCAGCACAACTGGATAAAACTTATAAAAGCATGAAGGCAAACAGAAAGAGAAAATTTCTCAACAACCAGTAACTGTAGATAATCACTAGAGTTTTGTGGGAGCATTTTAACAAAGATGAGTTTTGAAAATCTAAGAGAAAAATTTTCAAAGTATGGGTAGCTTCAACAATGGAAGTAGCTACAACAAATTTTCTCTTCCCAAACACATCATGCTTAGGCCCATCTCGAGATCTATTATTAGCATTCCAGATCAAAATCGAATAAAATTGTTAAATTTGGAAAATAGTAAAAAGATGCAACAAAAATTAGTGCATTACTTTTTACTAATAAAATATTTGCCACGCAGTAAACTCAGACTAACTCGTTTTGACACTTTAGTGTTTCATATTGCGATTCTAAATTTTATTCCCATGAGGAAATTTAATCGCAAATCCCTATTTCTCTAATCTGCTTAGTCGAATTTGAAGTCGTTAATCTCCCTGGTTTTATAATAAGCAATTCACCTGATTTCTTTTCGATCTCTACAGAACAGTCTGAAAAGAAATAGAATGACCATTTTCAATTTACAATAGTTTATTCCTGAGCAACAACCAGTAACTGTAGATAATCTGAGGCCAAACATTGTTCACGGATTACCTAAAAACTATTACGTTTTATAATTATGGTGAATAACTGAAATGTTGCTGTAAGTTCAAAATTATGCAAATCAATTTCGTTTTCGAACAGGATCATAATGCTATTCGAGAGCGAAACTCATAAAAAATACATTATTGTTAATAAATTTTAATCATATTAGAAATTAGGACAGTGAAATAATGGAAGATAAAATATATTCTTAGAAAAGGAAAACCTTCTTGCGATTCAAGGTTGATATTATCTGGCTGTGCAATACTGTCACTACTTATGGCACCACTATTACCAGTAATAAAGTTATTGACAACAGCATCATTATCCATGGTAATACTATCATTAACTTCGTTAGTAGTAACTTCGTCTCCAAAGTTGTTATTATTACCACTATCAGCATCATTTTCCCAGGGAACTGTAATTATCTGATATAAGTTTATGATCCTCCACAAACTGCATATGCTCGAAAAATCTATTTGCGATAAAGATCTTTATTCATTGATAAAAATTAAGCCATTTTTCAGATAATGCAACAGGCACAAGTTATATTACTTATGTAAATTTCTCAATGTCCTTCATATAAATCAGATAACTTGAAGAATTCCCAAATACAAGGACTATAATAAAAAGTTCATTTTGCTTACATTTCATGGCGCTACTCCCAAAATCCAAATCAAAATTACTTCCATTTGCATTTGGAAAAGCACTGAAAGAATCTGAAAGAAGCATTAATTACTCTTTCTGAATTGAAATGAATAAAATGAAACATCTTCGAAAACATTCCCCATGAGTTAAGGCTGAAGTGATGATGGATTGAACGAAATTACAGATTCTGATTAACCATTTACAAATTCCTAGCAATTCTATTCAAAGATAAAGAATATACTTGAAACTACACTACCGAATCGATGCGGTGCATTAACAATATCCAGCAAAAAATCTGGAGGAATTTGTCCAACTTCCCGAACTACCTGAAACAGCACGACAACCAAATGAATTCACAAATGTAAAAAAATGTACTCCTGAACGATGATTAAAAGCTTCAAAATACTAAATTTTCAATAAAATCAAGCGTCCGCAATCTAACCATTAGTGACCGGAAGGTATACGAGAATACCTGATTAAGAAATACTAGCATTCTTTTCTGTAACCAAAAAAATATTTATGAATTTATATACCTGAACAATATCTGCAATTAAACTGACATTAGGCTTCTGTACATCGATGAATGTTGTCGCTTTCCCTCGATGAAGGCGACCCGTCCGACCGATACGATGAACATAAGTTACTCTGTTTTTAGGCAAGTCATAATTGATCACCTACAGTAGTAACGAAATCAACAAAAAACCATATTGAGATATTTCTTATAAACAATTTTGAAAACCCTTGAGTTCTTTTTGAATAAGCAGTTTTTCAGAGCAACTACCCTACCTCCAGCAGCGTGATGAAATCAAAATAAAATGAATAAAAGAGCAAATAAAAATAATAAGAAGAGAAGAAATGAATAAAACTAAATACAATATAAATAGTTCTAAACAAACATGTTCGAGGTCTGAGACGTCAATCCCACGAGCACACACATCAGTGGCTACAAGAACACGGATAGAGCCTCTGCGAAAATCGGACAAGGCTTCTTCACGCTGCTTTTGAATTCGAGCTCTGCAATATATATTCATAAACTAATCTACCAAATATAATCATTTAGAACACTTCAATGATAAAATTTTATGAGCTTCCTTGCAAACAATGTAATTTTGATTTGTTTTATACTCTAGTGTAAATGGTTGGTAGATAACTTTTAGAGTTTTAAGATGAACCAATACAGCTTAAGGGGTAAAATAAGGAAAAATAAACACCTGAATTTGAATCGAAACTCAATAATGTCAACTTAAACATTACCCACTTATGCTACTTGCAAGTACTCCTTTTTGAACAAGATTTAAAGCCATAATATCAGCCATTTGTTTCTGCTGAACAAAAACTAAAGTACGTGATATTTCGTCATTGACAGCTTTATCTTCATCCAATAATTGTAATAGTTTATCTAACCTGTTTTCAGACGTAACCTGTAGTAGAACTTGTAATTACAGAAAACTCGTATTTTCTAATGTAAATTTATGAAATGTTACAAAAAATATCGAAAGTACTTCCAGAGTTTATCATATTCTTGATCCTCAATATGAACAACAACTAAAGAGCAAAGGTACAAGTAAACCTCAACAAAATTTTGCTCTACGAGCGGATTCGCTGCAGTAACTTTGCCATTAGAAACGAAAGCATGACTCTTTTTCAAAATTTCTTTGGCTAACTGCTGGACTTCGTCACTAAACGTCGCACTAAACAGCAATGTTTGTCGTTCTCCGATCTGGAAACAAAAAAACACAAACTGTTTTTAAAACAATTTCACTGGAGTAATTGCGAAATCTAGTCAGAAACAAACACGCAATAATAACTCTGGTTTTGATTTTAAGAACATCTTAAAAGGATAAAATAAAATAAGTAAATATTATAAACTTACTGACGGAAAACCACGACTATGGACAAGAGACATAATATCTGAATGGAATGAATTCTCGCTAAGCATGCGATCAGCTTCATCCAACACAAAAAACTTGATATTGTGCAATTTTATCTATAACAACTAATTTCTAAAACAAACAAAACATTTACGGTTTTTTTTTTCAGGAAAAAGCAAGAGCTTACAAACATTTTCTTCATTAACTTTGAAATCCTTCCAGGTATTTGTCTACAACTCAATTTTTTCTTTAAAAAAAAATCAATGCATTGGAATGTGAAAAAGCCTAAAACAAAATACATGTGAATATATGATCTGAAACTATACCTGTTCATGCACAATAAAATCTCTTAATCGTCCCATTGTTGAAAACAGAATATTACATCCTCTTTCTAACTCCATGATATTATTCATAATTCTATATTGCCCGTACGCCTTCGCCACAGTAACACCAGTCCCTGTGCATGAAAATAACTATTTTATATAAAAAAGGATTAGGTTTTCATCTGACTTAATTAAAACATGATTATCCATAGAGATAGAATAATTTACAATGACAGCAGACAAAACTTCAGAAACGTAATTAGCTCAGAAATAAGCAATTTTTGTTCAAAAAGGATAACAAAAAAGGTAAAAGTTTCAACATGCTAACGACTTAAATGGAGATAACAATAAAAAATTATACCATAAGCGAATTTTCGAGTTTGATTGTACAGCTGTGAGACCAATTCACGAGTAGGTCCGAGTACCAAAGCAATTGGGGCGCATCTTGAGTCAGCTGGTTCGCCATTTGTCATAATATAATTGATAATTGGTAGAACAAATGCAGCAGTTTTACCACTACCTGTTTCTGCATGACCAACTATGTCCCAACCTGATTAAGAAAACCTCACGTTATTAGCTTTAACATTAAACTCCCTTCTGTCTACGCTTTGTTCATGTAACTTAGTTTATCACTCACAATAAAACTCAACAGACTATTTCATTTAAAATAGCTTTTCAGTCTATAAAAATGAACATATGAGACGTCACCATTTTGTATTAACGGCACTACAGTTGCCTGGATACGTCGGGGTGACGTGAAGCATGATTTTTCAATAATATTACGGAGCAGTAGATCTCTAAAGTCAGCATTCCTCCAATCCCTAAAAGTTATGCACAATCATGACTCAATACAGTCTGATAAAATAATAAGTCAACTTTTGCACAGTCATTTCCGAATAACTTATAAAAAACTCTAGAGGTCATGATTTAAATAAACTACGTTCCTAAACTCACATCAAAACCATTTCCTTTTGTGACGGTGGAACTCCTGAAACAGTAATTTCCTGATCCAAGTCTCTGATCTGAAAAAATTCTTGCAGCATGACAATGCACTATGATATATATATATATTGATAGTATAGTTAAAGCAGCAAGAATGATAAAAATCACTAACTAAACTACAATTCCAAACCTAAAACCAACCATTCTATAACAAAAATATTTGATACCTATACCTATATAACTGACCGATATTGTTAAAAACCCTGACAGCAAGACATGACAATGAAGTTAATGGAATTATGACTGATGCTTTTAGAAGAAATTATAACCTCGTATTTTGCATTCTCAACGTCTTCATTACACATTTCTTCAATACTTCGATCAATTGGGATATGTGATTCAAAACGCTGAGACCCATCTGAAAACTCGATAATAGCTAATTTTGCATGAAATATCACATAACTGAAAGATAATCAATTCTAAAATTATAGACATACCTCGAACTCCAAAAGCCTCTCTCTTTGATCTACCATCGTACTGAAATACGAAAAATTAAAAAAAATGCTACCAATAACTGTAATTATATTAAAGGTTTGTCGTTTATAAAGTTGAAATAATTTAACTGAATAATTTATACCGAAGATTTTTAATATTAATAATCATAAATAATGATGAATGAAAATGATAGCAACAGTAGTGCTGGTAACAAAAATAATGTAAATGCTAATAAACATAAGAAAAGCGTCTCTTTTGGATCCTCCTCTTAGACTGAATTAAATTACAAAATAAATTCAAAAAGTGTAGAACTCACATCGCGAGAACATTGTCGAGCCTCTGCAAAATTTCATACTTTTATGCAGTGGAAGGCAACAAAATTCATAATATATTCGAAGAATAGAAATTTCGAAAAAATTGAAAAGTACTTGAAACTATACAAGGTCGATGCAAATTATCGAAAAGCAAAAATATTTTACAATTTCTGCTTCTTAAACACTGCAATGAGTTAGTACTAATAATCTGAATTAATGGAAGCCTTATATACCATTCTATTATCGACAATCAGCAAAAAAACAGATACCCCACACAACTGTGAAGAACATGTTTCAAGCCATAATTCTCTTTAAGCTAACAGCATGGCAACAGAAAAAGACAAACGAACTAGTTTCGACAAAATAAAATCGAAGAACAGAAAAATTTTCAGTAATGTGACTTACTCAAAAGTTGTGCTTCTTCTTTCCGATAATTTGCATCAGAGTTTCAATTTTTAAAAACTCCATTAATAGAATAACACTTAAATAAATAAGAGCTAAGAAAACAAAGCATACGGTTGTTCCTGAAGTCCTCACGATAACGAGAATACCCTCGAAAACTTTTCATTTCTCCTCTATTCGGTCTATATTCATCTCTTCTGATGCCACCACTGAATTCTTCACTATTAAAATCATTTTGTCCTTTGAAGTTACTCGAAAAACCACTACGCCATCTGTCACCCTGGACATTATCACTGGTATTCATATTATTGCTATTTTCTCGGTCGAAACTATCACAACCAATATGCCGATCGCTTCCAAAATCAAAGTTTCTGCGACCAAAACCGAGACTATTATTGCGTTGGTTTGAGAAATCGCAACTTTTACCACGTCTGGATGAGAACCCAGTGCCCTCTTCATGGTTAGGGAACACCTCACTAGAACCATCACCGAACTTTTCAGAATTAAATTTGGGAGAGTGGTCTGACGTGTCTCTACGCCAGTCAAAAGCATTATGATCCGTGCGAACACTGCGAGAGAAACCACCCGAGTCTTGCCAATCAGTGTCATTTCTACTATCATGAACTGAAAAACTGTCACTGTGATATTTTGATGGAAATCTGTTATTTGTTCTACGGTTCCGAAGCGCATTACTAGGGTCAAATCTTCTTTTTTGAAATTCGTCAGTTCTGCAATCAGAAATTTTATCTCGGTAGTTATCGTCGTGATAAGAACCGCTTGAAAACTCCCAACTGTTATCGCATCTTGATGAGAATTTATTTTCTTTACGACCGTGCAGTGTACTGTTGGACGCACCAAAAAACCCCTTACCACGAAGCTCACCCGTTTTGAGACCAAAAACGGCACCACGGCAGTTGTTAACATTATTAGAGCCATAGAAACCATCTGAGGTCTTGCCGTTTTCAACACCTGAGGCCGATGAAAAATCTCTGTGATCATGTCCCGATGGGAATCTGCCGCGCCTTTGACGGCAATCACTGAAGAATTCAGAGGAATTACGATCTATTTCAGTCCAACCACTACTGTTGCCAGAATCAAAACCGCTGCCACGACCAGGTTTTGTAAAGTTGCGATCATTACAGTCTTCAAAATACTTGTCTTCTGCAGTAGGACCTAAAAATACCAACAAAAATTGATGAAAATATAATATGCTGCGCAGCCATGACTTAGCGATATGAACTGATAAAATTTTGATGAACATATCTATCTTTAGTTTGCAGACAAAAAATTTTAGCAAAAATACAGAACCATACTACCAATTTAGATTCAGCTTAACTATGAGCAACGAAAAGCACTTAAAACCAAAGCTACGTAGAGATTTACATATGAATATAAAGTTTCATAAATGTTCCAAATTTCAAGGTTAAAAATTACTCAGCATCTTCACTGAAAACCATCTTTAATAACTACGCGACTTTCGATCATAAAATTTCAATACGCAACACTCTTATAAATCATGATTACGAACTGCAAATTCTACGACTACATCCATTTTTCTCATGCATTTTTAAATTACGACTACCTAATCCATTAATGTATGAATGTAATTATCACATTTTTTTTAACGAAATGTTTTACATTTTGTTTATGAAGTTAATGACTGCAAAATTTTAGACATAAAATTCTGTGCAGACATGATTTCTTAATTTTTCTGGTAGGGCATCAGATTATTTCGGGAACTTACGTGAAAAATTTGATCGACGATTTGTAAAAAAGTTTGCAGAACTGCTACGACTATGATTTCTATCATCATTATTTGTCTGAAAATCTTTCTGGTAGCACATCAGGTTAAGGTCAACTCTAAGATCTATACCTTTCTACAACTTTATTCATTTCAGTTTCCTAAAAAATGGATAAAACTAGAATAAATGCAAAATTATCATATCCGTTTCTTCATTGTTGCAGAAGTTCACATTAATTAAAATCAAGTTGCCATTGTTTTAATTACACTAAAATATAATAACTCCATACATCTTCCAAATTAAACTATCTAGGTCTCCAAATCAAACTATCTTAGTCTTGATTTCTGCGGTTACACGCAATTTAAAATTGTATTATTTCTTACCAAACCAATATCAAATATAGAATCGTCATCATTTTGTTGTGAAAATCCTTGTCTGAAATATTGATTCTGTTTCAAACAAATTTATAGAAATTTAAAGCAAAAATAAACTGAAATCATTTCTCACTACAATTCAAATCAATAATCAGACAAAGCATACCCTCTACCATATCCGTAGCTCATTTTGCAATATTATCGATTTTATCGCTAACTAAATTCTTCAAAGTATATCCCACAAACCTAAAATATAATTAATTGTTAATTTCTCACAGTATTACTCTTTTTTTAAATTCAGACACACACAGAAACTGAAACCAACAATAATCCAAACAATACAACAACAATGCACACCACCAACGAACAGCAACACACGCAACAATACTGAGCTATGCAGAAAGTGCGCGTGGCAGACACTGAACGCAATGCAACACATCACTGTTCATTGATTTTTTTGTCACAGTCGACTTCGAATCAAACGTTCTAGAATGATGCAATTGCTTTTTTACAGGCAATCGTTTCGAAAGCCTATTTGGAACGAAAATTCCTACAGTATCAATCGATCACATTCGAAGGGGTGCATGGGAGTGCACTTCCCTGGAATAAGAGTGCACTCTAATATACTCAAGTGCATGGTAGTGCGCTTCCCTGGAATGAGAGTGCACTCTAATATACTCAAGTGCATGGTAGTGCACTTCCCTGGAATGAGAGTGCACTCTAATGTACTCAGGTGCATGGTAGTGCACTTCCCTGGAATGAGAGTGCACTCTAATATACTCAAGTGCATGACTGCATTTTGAAAGTAACTTGCACTCCATGCACTTGGTGTCAAGACGAAAAAGTGCAGATTTGTTCTATCATCTGGTACTTTTACAGCGCATAAACAAAAGTGCAAATTTGTATAATTATCGAGAAGCATTTATGCAACTGAAATGCTTTCTAATAAGTGCAAGTGAAGCAACTCTTAATCAAGGTGCACATTCAGCTTAAATACCTAGTGCAGTCTGAAATCAAAGTGCACAACTGCACTTTGACTGCATGTGTGTTTCCGTGCAACTACATGCGAATTTGTGCAGTTGGAAATTAATCTCACAAATTTCATGCATATGTGTATTATAAGTAATAAAAATTAAATTTAAAGTGACAGAGAATAATTAAAGAACTTCGCAAACGCGCAACTAGAGCATTTAGTGAATGAATTAATTGTCTTGGAAAATTTCTGTAATCATTGATAAAACTTTAAGCGATGAAATTGCGATTACAGAAAATGCTTGAGTTGATTCAGAAGTCATCATATGAAACCTCAGCAATGATATGAGAATTTTTGAGACGAATGTATCAAGTGTAGGCATCAGTTCGCTTGATGCCTACTCCTATCTCAGTTGCAATAAAAGAGTTATGGGAAGTTTTATATACCTAAGCTTGAAAATCTAAAGATTAAATCCATAACTGACAAAACTTTAAATCAACAATACGTTAGATGACAAAAGTTGACGAATGTATATTTTGATAAATATATTCAAAAATGAGAACATGGAAAAAAGTGAACGGGATTTAACGTTGCAAAATTTTTTTTTGGGAATATGAAATTCTGTACTCACTCTTTGAAGTTTTCCATTTGCACTGTCAATGAGAGCATTCTTGGTTTTATGGTAACTGTGGTGGTTAGTGTGTTCGTCCGGTAATCGGAGTTACTGTCCTTCTAATTTGTAGTGTTATTTTATTAGTGCATATGGAAGAGATTTGATGAAAACGGTATTTTGAATTTATGCTTGAAAGAAAGAAGAAATAGATATTTGTTTTAGAAGACTGATTTTGAGCAGTATTCCACGTGTTTGCTAGATGAACATCCACTTTTTGTCTAGTATATTGTGCATCTTTAAGCATTTCAGGCACCTAGGTAAAGTTTGCTACTATACCATATTTTAGATGCAGTACGTATCATTCTCGACAATTGTGTATATATATGATTTCGCTGATTAAAACTGAATTCTTTACAATATGTTTTCATGACTTTATTACTTTTAACTTTAAAAAGTTCTACAATTCTTTCTTGCGTACGAAAAAAATTTTTCGTAAAAGCCGCTTTTTGAAATATTTTAGTACACTGTATTTTTATTCTAAAATTAAGATAAGATTTGCTCCAACTAAAGAATGTAAATCGTTTATATCATTTCACCTCTTGGTCGTATATGGAGAGATGCCATATTATTTGTATTATTTATATTATGTCTTCTGATGAATTTTGTTTCTTTGAATCTTTTGGCAGAAAAAGAAGTTCAAATTGTAAATAAATGTATATACATAAGGAAAATGAATCGAAAAATATAGTCCATGGAATTTGTGAGAATTTCAGATGTATGGCGCTGGACAGCAAGCACCTTCAACGAGTCAGCCAGCGGGGGTCAATATTGCCATTGAGGCAGGTTCTGAATGGGGAGTTGAGGAAATTGGTTTTGATGGAATTGAAAAATATATACGGTATTTTTTTTAATTTCCATTGTTTGCTCATTATGGAACTATGGTAATTCATTTTTGAAGTAGTTTAAAAGTAAGATTAATACTTTATTAATAGGAAGAGTTTTTAAAGCTTGCTTCTCTTGA